ATGACGGGAAGAGGTCGCGATATAGTAAACCTCATGATGGAAAGGAAAGTGGATGTACTTGGCGTGCAAGAAACGAGATGGACAGGAAACAAGGCAAAAGAACTTGGTGAGGGATTTAAATTAATATATGGAGGAGCTGACAACGATAAAAGAAATGGTATAGGAATTATATTATCCCGAGATTTGAAGGACTTGGTTACAGAAGTGAACAGGAGAAATGATCGGATTATGTGGGTGCGGTTGGTGCTAGAGAATTATTCAGTAAATATTTTCAGTGTATATGCGCCGCAAACGGGATGTACAGAGGAAGAAGAGGCACAATTTTGGACTGCTCTGCAAGAAGAAATGGAAAAGGTTGTTGAAAGTGAAAGATGCATGGTTGGAGGAGACATGAATGGACATATTGGAAGTGGATATGATGCAATCAGCCGGATACATGGGGGAAATGTGTATGGAGATGGAAATGAGGATGGAGAGAAGATAAGTGACTTTGCTTTATCCTTAGACACGGTGATCGGAAATACTCGTAAGAGAAATGAACACCTAATTACTTACCGGAGTGGAGAGCGAGCAAGTCAGATAGACTTCCTCCTCTAACGCCGTAGAAACCTCGAGGAAATTAAAAACTGCAAGGTAATACCATGTGATCATGTGACGTTACAGCATCGCCATTGCTGTGACACGAAGGCAGAAAAGGAAAGTCACCATGGAGAAGAGAATAAAGTGGTTCAAACTGAATGATCATGGCCTAAAGCAGCAGTTTAAAGACCGAGTTCTAAGAGAGATTGACCTGGAAATCGAGGATGTCAACGAATGGTGGAACAGAGTGAGTGCAAAACATCATCGGAACTGGGAAAGAAGTGCTTGGTGAGACTAGTGGCAAAATTTGGGAAAATAGAGAAGCGTGGTGGTTCAATGAAGAAGTTCAAGAGAAAGTGAAAGCTAAGAAGGTTGCTAAGAAAAGATGGGAAGAAACCAAACTAGATCAAGATAGAGAAAACTACAAAGAGTACTGTAAGGAGGCAAAAGGAGCTGTTGCAATCGCGAAAGCAAAAGCATACGATAGTCTATATGAAGAGTTAGACACTAAAGAAGGACAAGGGAAGGTTTTCAAGTTGGCAACGCAAAGAAATAAGAGCACAAAGGATATCAAGCATATAAGACAGATGAAGGATGAAAGAGGAATAGTGTTAAGAAAGGAAAGAGAGATTTTGATGAGGTGGAAAGATTAATTTGAGAAGTTACTGAGCGAAGAAAATGAAAGGTTCCTGAGAGAAGATGGAGAATCAAACAACCAAGGGGGAGCAGAAATGACGAGACAGGAGGTGATCACAGCACTGAAGAAGATGAAGAATGGTAAATCGACAGGGCCAGATGGCATACAGGGCCAGATGGCATACCGGTTGAAGTTTGGAAGGCACTAGATGGAGATGGAGTTGACATACTGCATTAACTCATGAATGAAATAATGGAAAAGGAAGTCATACCAGAGAAGTGGAGAGAGAGTGTCTTAATACCGATCCTTAAAAAGAAAGGAGATATACAAAGTTGTAAAAACTATCGGGGTATTAAGTTGATGTCCCACACCTTGAAGCTGCTGGAGAGGATCCTAGATAGCAGACTAAGACAGGTAGTCCACATCGGAAGGCAACAACTTTATGAAGGGAGTTGGAACGGTTGATGGCATATTCTCGCTCAGGCAAACTATGGAGAAACATCATGAAAAGCAAAAGGTGCTGCATTTGGCTTTCATTGACTTGGAGAAAGCATATGACAGGGTACCACGCCAAGAAGTATGGAGAGGACTGAGGGAAAGAGGAGTGCAAGAGAAATATGTAAGGATAGTACAAGAATGCTACAAGGATGTAACAACTAAAGTCCGGAGTACAGTTGGTACAACTGACAGTTTCCATGTGCAGGTCAGCTTACATCAGGGGTCGGCACTAAGTCCACTACTATTCAACATAGTATTTGATGTCATCACTGAAAATGTGCGTGAAGATCCGCCTTGGTGTATACTCTACGCTGATGACATTGTCTTGGTGACCGAGAGTAGAAGAACACCAGAGAGGAAACTAGAAGAATGGAGAGTTGCATTGCAAAGTAGAGGAATGAGGATTAGTAGATCCAAAACTGAATACTTCACGTTGAATGGTTGAATGGCACAGATTTGATGAGAGTAAAAACCTTTAAATTCCTGGAATCAGTGGTAGATGAGACAGTAAGAGAGGGAGGGAAGTGAACTTTAGAATCCAGTGTGGTTGGAACAATTGGAGGAAAGTCTCTTGCGTGATATGTGACAAGAGAGTAGCAGTGAGACTGAAAGGTAAAGTTCACAAGGCAGTAGTCAGACCTGCCTTGATCCACGGCCTGGAAGCAGCACCTCTGAAGAAGTCTGAAGAGAAGAAGATGAATGCGGCAGAAATGAAAATGTTGAGATGGATGGTAGGAGTGACAAGAAGAGATGAAATCAGAAATGAATACATCAGAGGGACAGTTA